CGAGCATTAATAAATTTAGTTGACTTTTTTTTTATTTTATCAATTTATTAAAATTTATGGGGCGCCAATCAGGAAATGAGGCGCCAATCCAATTGACGGATTAAAACTAAAAGATGGGGCGCCAATCAAATCAGTGCCATATTAATTAAAGAACTTTAGTATTATTAATAATTTAAATAATTATTGGATAAAAATAAGTAATAACATTATAAATAGTACATAAACTAATTCCAATAAATAAACCAATAAAAAAGCAAATTATGTTTTTAGTTCTGTTTAATTCTTTTGTTTGTTTTTTTTGATGTTTATCAGTTTTATTTTCACTGTTTGATTTATTTTTTGAATTATTATCAGTTATTTCATCATAAATACTCTCTTCTGAATGATCAAAACTTTCATAAATGTGTTCACTTCCTTCATTTACTGAAGATTTATTTAATTTGTAACTAACAACTATTGTAGTTTCATTAGAATCATCAATTTCAATATAATTATTTTCTAAAATAGAAATAGTTGGTCTATCAATAGAAATCATTGATCTTTCATTTTCATAAGTAATAATGGTTGAAGCATTCATAGGCATATATCCATCTTCAGTTTCATTGTTATTATTAATTTCTTCCATATTCCTTCCAAGTGAATTTTCATAAAATCGATTAGGTGTTAAATTCTCATCAGATTCTAGTCTAAAAATTTCTTCACCAGCTTCTAACTGAGTAGAACTTATAAATACTAAATCTTCTAACAATAAAATCATTAACATCAGTGAGGGGTTTTAAAATACAAAAAAAAATAATTATTTTATAATATAAAAAATTAAAATTCTAAAATTTAAAATAATCAGTTATAGAATGTAAAGTAAAAACACTTTCTAATCCTTTTCTATTCTTTTCTACAATTAAATTAATAATTGATTCATCCACTCCTTCATCTCTCATCTTATAAACAATACATCTAATGTACTTCTTAACTAAATAATTATCAATAAGTTCTTTACTAAGCTTATCATAAACAAGATAATCTATTTCAATACTCTCACCTCTAATTCTGCCTAATTTACATTTTGAAGCTAAAATTACATCATTAAGTGAATTATTAATGTTTTCCAATTGATTTTTGTTTATAAGATTATTTCTAAAAGAGGAAATTAACAAACAAACCAAACTCATTTTAAATTGAGGATCTTTATAAAAGATATCAGTACTTAAAATAGTCATAATAATCTTCTTATCAGCTTGATTTATAAATACACTTAAATAATAAAACAACAAGTGGTAAGCTTCTGTTATCTCATTTCCAATTATGTTGTTTATCATTTCATTATTATAAAAATTATACTTTAATGATAAAATCATATAAATATCAAATAAATAATTTAAGGTTTGCATATCACTAAATACATTAAAGTCTCTGAATAGTTTGTTAAGATACTCAAATAATGATCTTGATAACCACTCATTATCTTTTGATTCTTTAATCAGTATTAATAATAATTCAGAACTAAATAAGTCTAAATTTTGCATGTTTATTGTTAAAATTCTCTCACTGAACTTTTCAGTAGAAATGAGTGCATCTGATAAACTTTTACTTTCTAATTTATAAATCTTATTATAATAAAATGTTGATTCTTTTTTTAAATGTGAACATAACATTTTTATAGCAATAAACTGTAACTTTTCATCATTAAATAAATGGTGTCCTGGTATAAGATACTGTTTAATTGAAATTAAATAATTAAAAGCATCAAACAAAACAAGATCATTTGATTCGTTAATTAACTTAATAGAAACATCAATTAATTCTTTATTAACTACTTTTAAAACCCCAAAAGAGTATAAATAGTCAGTTAAACTAAATTTCAACTCTAATAAATAATTTCTCATATTTAGTATTAAATCATTTAAAATTTCTCTTCTATCACTGTTTCCTAATAAAGAAAATGTAAATGATTTATAATCATTAATGGGTAAAAGCATATTAAGATTTGATATTTTAAGTATCAATATAACTAAATTATTAATAACAGACATATCAAGAGATTCCTTGTCAACATTAAGTAAAAGTCTAGTTATAATCTTAATTTCATCAAAAGAGTCAATATTTACAGTTTTTATATTTTCATCAGAACAAAGTATAGTTAATAAAAATTTAACATCCAACAATTCAGGGTACTTAAGTGTGAATAAATCAATAATCTTATTACATATTAATTTATACTTTTGATAATAAATATAAACTACCTTTAAATATAAGTCAATATTATTCTCAAAAACTGGGTGGATATCTTGATAAATTAGTGAGTAGAATATTGATAAGTAGTTATAAACAAACTTATCATCATTCTTATTTACTAATAAATTGTCTAATACTTCAGTATTAAACAGTTTATTAGTAAATAATTCAATATTTTCTTTAATTTCCAAAAATAGACTATCAGATCTACTTAACTCTCTATACTTAAGAAATGCACAATTAATTAAATTATATTGTTTAAGTTCTAAAAACCTCATTAAAATATCAGTTGGTATTCTCTTCTTATGACTTAATTGATTGATATAATTTTCTATTCTATGATTGTTAATTGAATTAGTGTTATTAATATTAGAAAGTAAAATTATAAACTGGTCAGATTGATATCTTTCAAAACTAACTAGCTTATACAAAAACATAAAACTATTCAAATCATCAGATAATAGTAAATTAGTGTATTCTCCATAACCTTCTAAAGTATTTAAATAATCTTTAAGTTTAATTTCATTATTGATAATTTTAGTTGGATCACTCATCATTTCATTTAATAACTCTTTAATCATTTTAATAAAATTTTAATAAAAATTTTTAAATAAAAATGTTCTTCTTTTTTAAATTATCACCAAATTTAATCTTTGATGGAAGTGAATATAAAGAACAAGAAGAAACAGGAGATAAATTAATAATAAAACAGTTTAATAATAAATCCAATACTAAATTATGTAAAAGAAAAGATGGAACATGGTTTATTAAAAACGGTAATGTAAATTTAGAACTTAAGAACACAAATACTTCTAAACTGAGAGTAATAAATCAAAGTAAATCAAACAGTAAAGTATACATCGAAGGAGAAGTAAATAAGAAATGGTTTATTCAAAAGATCTAAAATAAAATTTTTATAAAAATTTTTACCCCACAATTTTATATTAAAATGAACGACCAAGTAATTAATAAATTTAAAGAAGTAAGAATACAAAAGTTATGTATTAATTCTAATATTAAACCTAAGAATAATGAACTTGATAAGTGTAAGCAAGTATTAAAACAGATAAGTGGACAAGAACCATTTACTAGTAAATCTAAATACACTATCAGGGGATGGGGAATTAGAAGAAATGAGAGGATTAGCGCATCTGTAACAGTAAAAGGAAAAAAAGCAAAAGAAATACTTCTTAATGCTCTTAAAGTTAAAGAACTTACATTACCAGAGAGTTGTTTTTCAGACCAAGGAAACTTTGGATTTGGAATAGAAGAACATATTGATTTGGGAATTAAATATGATCCATCAATTGGAATATTTGGAATGAACTTTTACGTAGTTTTAGATAGACCGGGTTCAAGAGTAGCTAAAAGAAGAAGATGTAAATCAAGAATTGGAAAGAAACAAAGAGTTACTAAAAAAGATGGAATGAAATTCTTTACTTTAAAATTGAATGGAGAAATTAGCAATTAATAAATTTTTTAATAAAAATTTTATAAGAAAATGGATTATCAGTTGTTAAGCTTAAAAATAATAAGAGATCCAAAAACATATTTTAATGTATTTAAAGAGCAATTAACTAGATTAGAAAGATTGTTAAATGATGAACCGAAGTCTTTAAGTATCAAACCGTTGACTATATTTATACTAGATAATGCTAATAGATATGAAGAAATAGATAATAATTATATTGTTAAATTAGTAGCTAAGTCACTTAATTGTGTAGATAAGAAGTCTTCATTGTTAATGACACTTACTAAACTCAAAGCTGATAAATTATGTTTATTAGAAACTATTCTCTTTCATTATAAAGAAATTAATAGTGTTTTATTAGGTAAAATTAAAACGTTAGTTAATAAAAACAATCTTAATTATTTGATAAAAAAGTATAATAATAACTTAACTGATAACAAAGAGAAACTTTTAAGAGTTTTGTTTTATTTAATAATTAAATTAAAGATATCAACAATAGAAGTAGAAACTTTAATAATAAATAGTATATTTAGTGATTATAAAAAATTAAGTAAATTTGCTAGTGAGTATTTGTTAAATAGAACAGATATTGAGAGAATAGAAATTAAAAATAAAGAATACTTTTGTAGATTGTTGTATAATAATTTGAAGAATAGTGTGTGTAGTACTGAAGATAGAATTGTTAAGTTAGAGTTGTTAATGAGTAATGTTTATGATGATCAATATAACAACTTTATATTTTCCAATTTAGTAAGTTTATTTGATATTACAAATAAAGAAACAAAGAATAATTTATTTTCTAAATTTGTAGATTTAATAGAAATTGAATATTTAGATCAAACGTTAAAAATAATAAAGAACAAAATGTTAGATGGATTTAATGACACTTTGATAGTTTTTGGTTTAAATTTATTTAAGAAAATTTATTTAAAACTAATTAATTCTTCAATAGAAAGTATTAGTGAAATTAATGAAATATTTTTAAAATATTTAACAGAAAATCTAAACATTGAAAGAATATCATATTCTTATAAAACTTTATTAAAAATAATAAAAAATAAAGGAGAAGGATATTTTGATGATTTCAAAGAAAAAAGTAATAAAGAAGAAAGAATAGAGAAAATGAAAGAAGGACAAATTACTTATAAAGAGAAGTATGAAAGAAAGAGAAATAAAATAAGAGAAATGTTTGAAAGTAAAATTGATAAAATGAAGAATAGAAATAAGAAAAGGAAATTTGAAAGTAAAGTTAGTGATAAAAATAAAAGACGTTTATTTAGAACAAAGAATAAGAAAAGTTAAGTTTAATTTAATAAAATCATTTTAATTTTTTATTATTAAAAATCCCCCTTCAATTAAATGTTTGTTTATTATTCTTGTTTATTAATTCAATTAATTATAAACTTAACATTATCAACAGTTGTAATTGTTTATTTAACTAAAACCAAATTAATTTACATACTTGTATTTGCTATAACAGTGACAGACATCACCTCAATCTTAGTAATTTACAGGTATAAATTACTCTATGAAAGACAGTTTATCTCTTATAGATACACACCAAGTCTAAATCGTATTATAATTAAAGTTGCCTTTAATCTACTACTCCTTACAATACTCTACTATAATTTAATGAAAGAATCTAATAAACATAAGATTATTGTTAGTGGGATAGTTCATTTTATTTTATTAATATCAACACTTCTATTAATTTATGTTAAAAGAAAGTCTACAAAGAGGGTCATTAGAATAACAGCCAACAGACAAACATTTGGATCAGTTTTAACTGATTTTGACAAACTAACTAAAAATGATATAGTAGAAGTTTTAAGTGTGACTGATACAGAATACAGAATAAGAAATAGTGATGGTTTGTTATCAACTGTTGATAAAAAAAATATTAAACTGCTTAACTAATTTTATTTTAATACCACCGCTTGTGTATGAATTTTATTAATTCCTCTTTTAAGAAAATATAATAAATAGTTAAATTAATGTAAATAATTGAAGATAAGAACATTTTTATATTAAACTCCTTTAATAAAAGAATTATTTTATTTAACTCCTTTTAATATAAAAATTCTTTTATTAATAAAAATTATTTTATTTTCTTTAAATCATTTTCTTCTCCAATTTTCCAAAATTTTATTTTAAAATCTCCACTTCCTGTCGCAATATACTTTTGATCTTCATTTATTCCAAAATGAATTACTCTATTTTTATGTCCTTCATAGACTTTCTCTACTTTATAATTCTTTAGTATCTTTATGTCGTTATCTGAATATCCGAATGTACAAATTATTGAATTGTCTGATAAACACTTCAAATTAGTTACTTGATTAGTGAATTGTATATTTTTTATCATTTCTACTTTTTTATTTATTGAAAATACTTTTATTGTTTTATCTGCTGACCCTCCTCCTGTTATTAGATTGTTTCCTTTTATTGTCCAGTCTATTGCTTTTATTGCTGCTTTATGTTCATTTACTTTCCCAAATGGGATTGTTGTTCTCAAATCATATATAAATGCTCTATTATCATTTCCTCCTGTTGCTAGTAGATTTGACTGTGCTATTCCACACACTTCTTGGGTGTGTGATGAAAATATCATTGCTGGTTCTTTTATTCTCGTGTCAATTATCTTTGTTTTTCTATCTCTACTGCCTGTTATTATTGCATATTCAAAATATTCTCTATTTTGGAAATTTTTTATCACTCCTATTCTTGACTTATGAATTAACTTTTTAGTCACCTTTAATGTATTCTCATCTATAAAAAACACTGTTCCTAATGATGTTCCACACACTATTGATTGTTGTTTACTACAATATTTTACAGATGTAATACTAATATTAGTGGTGAATATACTTTTAGTAATCTCACTATAGAAATTATAAGCATATACTGTTCCTTCTACTACATAAAATATATTTTCTTTATGCCAATCTATACATGTGCTATAAAAGTCATCCACCATTCCCCGGATGTTAAGACTTCTGAATTCTTTATGAATTTTTTCTGGCTGGTGTTCTTTTTTTAGTGGTGTTAAATTTAGGAAATCAAAATCTATGTCTAAATTATGCTTATCTAAGTTATGCATATGGGTAATAATAATTCATGATTAAGTATTTATATTTCTAAATACAAACAAAAATAATTATTATTTGTTTGATTACTTTTTTATGCTTGAAAATAATTTAGATCCAAGAGATTTCGAAACTGCTGAATATGATTATATCTGTGCTAAAGATAGATTTAATAACATAAAGTTTATTTATAAGGAGAAACTTGGTAAAAGTATATTCCTTTCTAAGCTTAAATCAATCAGTGATTGTACTTTTGATAAAGATACAATTAATCGTAAAGATAATCTTGTAAGTGTTAAAGATGGTAACAACAGTAAGGATAGTGAGATTTATGAGTTGTCTAAATTGTGTTATGATTTGGATAAACAATTATGTGAGTATGATGGTAGACTTAATCTGCTTAAAAATGTTCATAACAAATTAAAAAATGAAGATGAAAAATTGAGAGTTTATTGTAACAGTTCTGAAAATAAAGCCATATTGAATGCTGAATTTGACTTTACAGATAATGAAATGAAGAATGTTCTTATTGAAATAGATAAACTTAAACAATCACTTAATAAAGAATCATTACAGAAAATGTTAAATGAAAAGATCAAATTAGAACAAGAGTTAGTGAATTTAAAGTTAAATGTTAAAAGAATGACTCTCATGCCTTCAGAAAATAAGTTAGAGGAAATTCATAATTGGTATTTGTCTTTGTTGGGTGTTTATAGGAAGTTATTTGGTGAATTTGAAGTGTCTTTTAGTTCTAATAAGTGTGAAATGACTATTTTTAACAAAGTTTATGAATATTCAGTTAAATTGATTATTGAAAATAACAAATTACAACAAATTGTTTTTATTAACATTCCTGAAAGTATGTTACAAGTTTATAATGAAGTTAGAGAGTGGTGTATTAGATTAAACGACCCTAGATTGATTATGCATTTTTTAACAAATTTAGAGGGTTTGATTTAATAAAAAAATTTTTCTATTTTATTTTTATTAATAATTAGTATGTTTTTCTATCAATATAATAATTATTGTTAAATTATAAAAAATATTTATTAAACTAATTAAGATTTTTATAAAATTTGTATTTTTATAGTAAATTTAAAATAAACACTTTCAATTCTTACTAGTTAACAATAATTGTTTTATTTAAAATATAAAATGTGAGTTTAAATTAGAAATAAAAAAGTTTTATTAATTAAAAATAATAATTTTAGTGTTTTTAATCTAAAAACTTAGTGAATTGATAAAATGAATTATTAAAAATTTTGTAGTAATAAAAATTAAATTTTAACTTTTTTATAAATAGAATTTTGATAACTAATACAGTGATAATATAAAAATTTAAAAACTACTAACAAGCAAGGCTGTAAATATATAAAAATTTCCATCTATAAAATTGTATGTTGTGAACAGTATTTTTTTAAAGATAATTTATTATATAACGACTTAATGTAAAAATTCTTATTCTTTATTAAAATTTAATATACTTTTAATAAAAACATAATTTCTTATTTAACTAGAGTGTTTCTTAAACCCAATTGTTTTTAATAAAAAAACTTTTAATCTTCTGATTAATATTTTATTATCTGTTAAAATTCAAAATTATTTAGTTTATAAATAAACAATTTTTTAATTAAAAAAAACAAATAAATTATTATAAAGAATAATTGATAAAGATTGAAACTTCGCTAGTGTTTATTACAATCTTAGATTTTTATTATTTAATTTTTTATCTGATAAAAATTAAGTAATAAGGAGTTTATTCAAATATTAATAATAGATTAAGATATACCCATTAAATGATAAATCATAACTGATCCTTTGTGAATACACCTATTTGTTTACACATTAAAAACATTGAGGGTGCCTGGAATAAGTTTAAATACTCTTTAAAGATGTACAAAATAATGTTAAGAATTAAAATAAAATTGATTTCAAATGAATTTATAATAAATATAAATATAAAGAATTTAAAAAACTTTGATGGTTTATTAAATTTATTAAAATTTAATTCATTTTTAGAAATTTTTTCTTAAGAAACAAAAATGGTAAATTAAATTATAGTTGATCATCATAAAATAATTAACAATAATGTGTTTAATTAATTATATTTAATTCTTAAAAATAAGATAATATATAGCATTAAAAAAAATGATTTATATTTATCAGACTCGTTAGTATGCTTTAAAGGATGTTTAATCCTTTTTCATCAATTTAAATTTTTCTCTTTTTGCTTCATTAAAATAATTAGGCAATTAAAAATTTATTTAAACTTAAAGTGTTCTTTTAAAAATGTTAAAATTAACTATTTATTATCTAACAATGTATTTTCTAAACTTAAAATAAAAAATAATTTATTTTGCTACTGTCTTAGGCATCATAGTTATTTAATTATAATTTATTCAACTCGTCTATTTCTTTATTATTGCTCTAATCTTTTATTATCTGTAAAAATTTTTTTAAAACTAGTTTTTAGCTAATTGCATACTCTATTTTACAACTACAACATTGATCTCTTTATTTATTAGTATTTTTATAAAAACTACTTCAATTTTTATAAAAAGTTAATTAAATTTAAATTTCATTTGACAATGTTATAAATTATACAAAATATAAATTTTTCTTAAAGAATTAATTACTTTATAAAAATAAATAAATATAATTTTTAATAAAATTTTTATAAATCAAAATTTCTATTAAAAATTAATTAAATAAAAATATTCGTATTTAACTTTTTGAATGAAAACTTATGAATAAATTGATGTTTTTGTTTACAAATTCTATATTAATAAATTTACCTTAAATTTTATTACCCTTAAATTTATTAGTATGGTACAAAACAACTATAAATTGATTAAAAAAACTGTAATTAAAACGATAATATGGGTTCTTGTAATTAATTTTATTTTAATTATACTTTGGCTTAAAAAAGATGAAATGTTTAAAAAACACCTTAATATGTTTGTTGAGGAACATAAACTTAGAAATCATAACAGAAGTCATGAAATTGCTAGAAATGACGAATTGAGAAGAATTTTTAATGAGAGAGTTGAAGAATTCGACAGAAAGGTTGATTATTTTTTAAATGTGGTATCAAGGTTTCAAAGAGAAACTAATACATCTATTAGAAATTTTAAAGCATTCAGTCAATTGTTTTTGCAATCCACCAAACACTTAAGAACGATTAGTCTAATTAAATATGAATCTAGACAGTATAATGCCGATTTAGAAGAATTACTTAGATTGCTTTTTTATCATTCAAATGAGTATTATAAAATTGTAGAAAAATATGAAGAAAGTATAAAATTATTTCAAGAACATTTTGTAAATAGTGGGGCTGAAGAAGAGTGTATTATTGAGGATAGACTGATTTTAGGTTTAGAACATTATAATATTATAAAAAGATTTACTGATATAATTGATAAGGATGAAAGATTTGCGATATATGTAGCAAATGCAGAAATAAGGAAAAGGTTTTTAAAAGACTCAATTATGAATTTGGTTGAGTGGTTCCATGCACAAATAACAAGTGACAGAAAATATGTTTTCTATTGTGATCAAAAGGAAACAATATTAAATTCTTTAGTTCAATTAGAAAATTTATTATCTGAACTTAATGAATTACTTGATGCAGAACCAATGAATTATGAAGAAATTTTTAGAGTGTCTGTTTCTTGTTCTGATAGAATTATTGAGATTGTTTCTAACGTTGATGAAAGAATAGAAATAACAATATAATAAAAAATTTTACAATTTAATATTTTTTTAGTTTTTAAAAAACTTTTTATATTTAAATTAAAAAATAGTAGAATTTTAAATTTTTAAAAAAGATTTAATATCTTCTAAAATTAGAAATTTTTTAGTTATAAAAAGTTTTTATTGAATTGTGTTATTTTATTCTACTTAAAAAATAAAAAAAATTAATTTTTTTTTAATTTTTAAAGTAAAATAAAAAATGAAAGATTAATAATACACTTAAATAAAACTTTTTAATTTAATGATTAATTACACTGTTTTATTTTTACTGAAAAAATAACATAAAATTACTTTTATATACTGATAAAGATAGTAATACTACTGAAAATACCCAATAGTATAGTTTAAATAAAAAGTGAAATATGAAGATGAAAAAAATAAAGTTAATAAATCATAGGAATTACGTTTTTTTAATAATACTATTTGTAAACAAAATTTAAAAAATATATAATGATGATCAACTATTAAATCATGTTTAAGAGATATTAAATCAAAAAAAGACAAAACTGTTTAAGATGAATAATCATTGATGATTAAAAATTTATCATATAAACATGATTCAAATGTAATTTCATCCTAAAATCTTGAAAATTACTAGTCAAAAGATTTAAAATATAATATTGAGGAAAGTAAAAAGATTAAACGTGTTTTAATTAATTTTAGTTTATTAGATACGAATACCACCATCGCCAAGAATTTTGTTATTTTAAAAAAATAATTTTTAATTTTAAAAGATTAAATAACAACAAAAAAAATTAATTACTTAATTGTTTTTTAATTAATAATAGGAATTAAAAGCATTTTATTGAACAAATTGCTGAAAAGAATATTTTGAAAATCGTTTATTTGATAATATTCAAGATCTTTAGAGTAGTACTTTTCATCTAGTTTTTTACATTGCTTACCAATATATCATCCTAGTAACTCTGAAAAGTTAAACATTAGAGTTTTTTGTTATTGAAAACCGTTTATCAATGTTTAAATTATTGTCTTTTAATTGATATGTTGGTTTTTTAATTTAAATATAGAAATGTTTATTGTTTTTTAAAATATTTATAAACTTACATTTAAGTATGAAAAGTTATTAAAATCAATTAAAAAGGAAAATTTTTATATCGGTGGGTAATTTACATATGATTGAAGTTATTTTTTTTAAAATTTAACTTTAAAGTCTAAAGATAAGGTAGTTTATTAAACAATACTACCCTTTGTAGTTATGTGAATGTTTTTGATGGAATTTATCTGTAAAATTTTATATTTAAGCACTTTCATTATAGATCTCTTTCATATTTAATTGAATTATTTGAGACTTATAAAAAACCCTTATCAGAGTGATTTCATTCTATAAAGAATGGTTATATGTTTTTAATAATAAACTTTATATTTTAATTCAACTTAAGTATTCAAGAAATCAAATTATGAATTTTTTGTTAGAATCTCTTTTAGAATAATTAACAAATGACATAATTGATCATTTAATGCAAGATTACAAAATTAACTTTATTAAATAAGATTTTTGAAGTATTTAAACAAGTTTAAAATTTTTATAGTGAAGGTTTAAAAAACAAAAAAATAAAAATATTACAAAGAAATTTATTTTAACCTATGCCACCTTAGCAACTTTCACGAATGTTAAAGAAAACTGCAATAATCTTAGAATTAAATGTTTTTAATAATTTATATAACAAGTTTAATAAGAAAGCTCTTGATATTTCAATTATTAAATTGTTTAACGATTAAAAAATCTAATCTATTTTTATCTAATTTATCTCTTAAAGAGTTTTTTCTTAAAACAACATCATTTTCTTTTAAGTGGCCCGTTATTTTAATTAACGTTTCTTTTATCTAACTGTTCAAATTATTTGTCCTTTTTCTTTCGATTTCTTCTTAAATCATAATTTTTTTAAAATTAATTTATAAATTATTTTTTTAACATTTATAAGAACTACCTTTTTAATATCAATTCTAAATTATTTCTTTCTAAAAAATTACATGATAATTCTCCTAATTTAGCTATTCGGTTTATGTTGTACATAAAAGTTGTCATGTTTATTTCTTCATCCTAATTCTTTCCAATTTCACTAATTATTTTTGATTGTGTGGTAACCACATTTTAACTAACTCATAGTTTTTAAACTGTCGAATTTATAATTATTTTTTTTAATTTTTAATTTTAAAAACCCAATCAATTAATGATAAATCAATTAAAGAATAACACAATTAACCAAGATAATAAATTTAGTAACAAAATGAAGTCTAAGAGTTTATTTACATGGTATCTTACAGGTAATGAAGTCCCTTCAGAATACCTCAGATTGGTTTGTTCTTTCAACCATTAAATTTGCTTCTAGATGATAAAGTATATTTTTGTTAACCTAATCTTACAAAATTAACCAACTCTTCCATTACATCTGTAGTGCCTCACACGGGCTTTTTACTCAGACGAGTTAAATTTAATAAAATCTTTTAGGTATTAAAGATTCTTTATTTATAATGATAATCTTTTTATAATATTGAAAAGTTGGATCAAGTCTGAAATTTTCCTTCCGATAATAACAACTCGGAAATTTTCCCCCTTTAATAAAAAAATAAAAAAAAATAATAAACAAATTTTATTCAAATCT